AGAACCACACACACCATCTCCCTCACCAGCACTTACCTATCAGTGAACATAGAACCCCCCCACCTCACGAAACTACAAGATATAGAAACTGCCACCTTGTATCAGTTTACGGTGTAGTGAACATCCCAAGCTGAGATGCCTCTCCACTCCCAAGAGACAAACAGGATCTTCTAGACCCATCCAGACCTCTGTCTACCCAAAGTATACCCCATACACCTCAAGGCTAGCAAAGCTAGGCATGCACCAGAGATAAGGAACGAAGACAAGAGAAAATGCATTTCGATTTTAGGTAGAGGATGGGAGGCGAGCTTTGTAGTCACACAGGCTGAGGTTTTACTCACTGTTGGGTAACTTGACCAAGTCTGTCATCATTCTGACCCTCAGTTTCCTCATCAGAAAAACGAAGGTGATCTCAATGCTCTTCTGTGGGAAATATTTGGCACATAGGTGTGGCCTCAATGTTGACTCAGGCTTCTTGCCATCATTTCTAAAAACATTTACATTACTGTAAGGAATGTAAGGAAGATGAACCAAATCAGATCAAATATTGTAGAGGTCTTTACTCCAAGGAGTCTTGAAGGAGCCAACAAGGGAAGTCCATGTCCATCCTCTAGTTACTAAAGTCCATTGCAGATACAGTTTGAACATCCCTAATCCCAACAGCCAAAACACTCCAAAATCTGAACCTTTCTGATCACCTGTATGACACCACAGGTGCATAATTTCCACACTTAACCTCCTGCGACAGATCACACAGAAACAACAACAACAACAAAACCCAACAGCATGCAAACATCATCATAGAAAAAGTCCTACAGGCCTTGATTATAAGGTGTATATGAAACATAAATGAAGATAGATTTGGGTCCCCTCCCTCAGATCTCTCATTATACATACACAAATATTCCCCAGTCTGAAATTCCAAATACTTCTGGTCCCAAACATTTTAGATAAGGGATACTGAGCCTATAGTTTTTTTTTTTTTTTTTTTTTTTTTTTTTTTTTTTTTTTTTTTGCTCCATCCTTTGGTGCTTTTCAAATGCCCTCATCTCTTGCCCGTGGACCAGATAGCTCCTTTTATGGAAGCCAGACTGAGTCGAGTAGCTGCCAGTCTTCTTCCCCCAAAAGAGAAAGAACAGAGACAAGCTGCTAGATCTTGCTGGGGCTGAAGTTCAGAAGGCCGTCCGAAGCATCTAATTCTTCATAAGCAGCTTAATTTTATCTCTCCCGACACCTCGCCGTGCCCGGGGGAGCCGAGCAGCTGGTAGAGGATGAGTGTCCAAGAGACTGTGCCCTCTTCTCTGTCTTCTTCTGGCCCCCGTTTCACGAGCTCTGCACCTTGAGCTGTCACCTAGTAATCCTGCCAGCCTGGGTTGTTTTGCTATTTCACCTCTTTGAAAGAGCGTCCCATGCTGAGATATCTAGGAGCCATAGGAGACAGAGAAGCATCCAGACAAGCAAAGAAAGCCAAGCTGGACCTGGTGGGTAAGGAGTATTGCCAAGATCCATTCAGTCTAGATAAACTCTCCAGGCGAGCCAGAATTGCTGCTTCCCTGTCTCCAGAGCCATCTTCCTTGTCTGATTCAAATACCTCCCAGAACCAAGTGTTATTGCTGTTGGGCTCATGAATCTGGACCAAAGTGTCAAGTCTAAAAGCCTTCTCAAGCAAGGAAGCTCGAGGGGGTGGGTGGGGGCATAGAGAGGAGTGAGGACTGTGGCAGAGAGTATATGTCTGGCCCGTGAATGTGTCCACAGCTGCTAGCACAGGAATCATCGCCAGAGGTTTTGAAATTTGTTTTCCAAGAAAAAGCAAAAATCCAGTGTGTGTGTGTGTGTGTGTGTGTGTGTGTGTGTGTGTGTGTGTGTGTGTGTGTTACATAACATTTCTAACTTTTGACACATAGAGAAGTCTTATTGTAAAATGGTAGAGAAGAGGGGATCCTCAGGCCATTGGCTAAGCCATCCTGGTATCTTTACTGAATAGTTTAACATTTCTGGCATTATGGTGCTCTCAGAGGCCTTGAATATCAATATTTAGAACAAATTGTTTACCAATTACTTAAAAAATAAAATGCCCAAACATAGTGGCACATGCCTTTAATCCCAGCACTGGGGAGGTAGAGGCCGGTGGATCTCTTCGAGTTCAAGGCTAGCCTGGTCTATAGAGAGTTCTAGGACAGCCAGAGCCACATAGTGAGACCCTGTGCCCCCCCAAATTTTTTTCATTCATTAACAAATTAAAAATTTAAAAATAAGCCGGGCGGTGGTGGCGCACGCCTTTAATCCCAGCACTCGGGAGGCAGAGGCCGGCGGATCTCTATGAGTTCGAGGCCAGCCTGGGCTACCAAGTGAGTTCCAGGAAAGGCGCAAAGCTACACAGAGAAACCCTGTCTCGAAAAACCAAAAAAAAAAAAAAAAAAAAAAAAAAAAAAAAAAAAAATTTAAAAATAAAACAAAAGCTTGTATGTGAAAGATCCACTTCTGACCTGATTGCTAGGCTGTTACTCTGTTCATATTGCAGCCCCCTTCAAATGTCCCCCACCTAGAATGACCTTGACCACAATTTAATACAGAAATCACAGGAAATTGGTGGGGGGGGGGGGTTATAGAGGGGATGGGCAGATGGGCGGGGTAGATAAGGCATTCATAAAGAAGCGGCTGAGCCCTCTAGAGACCTGGTTATCATAATGACTCCCAGCATGCTCCCCGGAAACTCTCCTGACCTTGAGCAAAGCCCTCAGACTCTGCTTCAATCTCTTCGCCTGTAACTGTGAGGTTCCTCTGCCCATCTGCCCAGGTTACAGTGAGAGTAACAGGGGGTCGGCAAAGCACTTCGGAAAACAAAGAGCATTCTAGCAACGTGAGCTTTTTTTCACTCTGAGGCAGGAGGACATCTGTGTGGACCCTCGGGACCTTGCCTGTTATTAGCCAGATTAAACAGGCAGTTCTTCTTCTGCTTGTCATGGCCACAGCTGCCTGCCAGCACCTGGAGCGCGCAGGGGACTGCAAGGGAGGCGGGCTTACAGCAGGGGAGGGGAGGGTGGCACCCAGGGGCAGCTCCAGCAACCCCAGCTCCAATCCCGGTGGACTGTGGTATGTAGACACTCCTGAATCCCGGGTCATTCACCACCAAGGGAGCTACTAGCTCTGAGCCTGCCTTGAGAACTGATGTTTAAAACTTCAACATTTTTACTCTTTGGTTTCTTTCCTTCTCATTCAAGAAGGAATGAGAAATGATTTCACCATTGTTTCAAGGGCACAACCAGTCAGTCTCGAGCTATAAGGGAAATAAATGCTCAGCACCCAGATTTGTTCAACTTAGCAGCTCTGCATTCTGAATCTTACCTGTGGCACTCAGAGCATCTCCTGGACCAGTGGTTCACCCACTTCCTGTGTTGTTCTGTGAAGGAGGGGACAGTAGGAAGGGCTATGATCATAGCAGAAAGGGTCGCTTGTGGGTAGGAAAGCTGAACCCAAATCAGAGCTCCCTTCAAGGAAGACACCCCTGTTGGAGCTGAGTTGTGTGTCCTAATGAAAGATAAGCATTAGTCACAGAGGGAGGGATGGAAGAGATGACGTTTGTGTTACCACAGGTTACACACATGGCAAACAAGAAAACTAACCAATATCCTCCAGTCACAGGCTGAAGTGAGTGGCAGCGGGGAATTGTATAGGGGCCGTGAGAGGCAATACTGGAATTATAGGGTCCTGTGAGTGTGAAGGGGGTCAGGGCAGGCCTCCCTGAGGAGGGTGAGTGGGTCAGGACAGGCCTCCCTGAAGAGGGTGAGTGGGTCAGGACAGGCCTCCCTGAGGAGGGTGAGTGGGTCAGGACAGGCCTCCCTGAAGAGGGTGAGTGGGTCAGGACAGGCCTCCCTGAGGAGACACCATTTGAGCTAAGAGGCCAGCCTTCCTGAGAAGGGGTAGAGAAAGGGTTCAGAGGGCCAGCCATGGTGTGCCTGAGGAACAGCAGGTGACCAGTGGGACTGAAGAGTAATAGATGAGTGTAGCAGGGCTTTCTTGGACTACCCACCCCCCAAATCATGACACAAAGACTTATCATTAATTATGAATGCTCGGCCTTAGTCTTGATTCTAGCTAGCTTTTTTTTTTAACTTAAATTAATCCATTTCTATTAACCTGTGTGCTGCCCTGAGGCTTGTTTACCTCATCCTGCTTTCCTGTTTCCTCCGTGTCTGGCTAGCTAGCCAGCCCTCAGCTGGCAGTCCTTGTCTCTCTGCCCGCCATTGCTGCCTAGCCCTCTTCTCCCTACCTAGCTATTGGCCGTTCAGCTTTTTATTAGACCAATCAGGTGCCTTAGACTAGCTATTGGCCGGTCAGCTTTTTATTAGACCAATCAGATGCCTCAGGCAGGCAAGGTGAAACAGCAACACACCTTTACATAGTTAAACAATTATTCACAACACAAATGTAACACATCTTTACATAGTTAAACAAATATTCTATTCCACAACAGAAGAAGGTATGAGGTTATGATAAAGACAAAGAAGGTGTTTGTGTGTGCCTACACATGGACACATTTCTCCCCTGGGAGGATGGCCTATAACTTTGATCAGATTTCCAATGAAATAAGTGATCCAAACAAGCTCCAAGGAATTCTCTGAATCAAAAATTGCCCTGACTCCGTCTACTAAAGCTTTACCATGATTGTACCAAATGATTTTTTTCCCCATTGTGATTCTTGGAAGCTCTGAATTCTAAAGTAGAAAAATACAATGCTGGACTCTACTCCTAGCCTTTGTCTAGGGCTGCAGGTACAAAGCCAGGTGCAGGCATTGGTAGGGTGTGTAGCACAGCATCCATGGTGCTGGGGGAAGTGAGGAGGGACTCGGAAGCCACCAGAAGCAGCCCCTCTTTCTCTGGGCTGCAGCAGAACCTCGGGGCCACGTTGGTGAGGGATGGCTACTTTCCAGCGGTACCAGCGGGTGCAGCCAGCCCTTGCTCCCCATGGCAGTGACCGGAGGCCTCTCTTCTGCCTGCAGCCTCCTCAATGCCAACAAGATCAACTGCCTGCGGGTGAACACCTTCCAGGACCTGCAGAACCTCAACCTGCTCTCTCTGTACGACAACAAGTTGCAGACCATCAGCAAGGGGCTCTTCGCTCCTCTGCAGTCCATCCAGACCCTGTGAGTACACTGCCCGGGCAGCTGCAGACCCCTGCCACCAAACCGAGGGTGGCCTGAGGCCCTGTGCGAGGATTTCTAGCGCTTGCAGCAGGGGTAGGAGATGAAGTGCAAAGCACTGAACTATATTGAGCATTCTGCTGGGGCCCGGCCGTGCTGAGGGGACATCTCACTTTCAAACATGTAAACCTTACAGCAACCTGGGAGGGGGTCACTCTCACCCCCATATTATATGTGAGGAATCCAAGGCACTGAGACAGTGAGTAGTTTACTCAAGGACACAGCCAGTGTGAAGCAGGATTTGAATCCTGGTAGAACTTTCGAGCTGTGCTCATAACCACAATAGCCATAGTAGTGTTCTAAGCAGTCTCTATCTCTGTGAGACCCCATCCCCTTCCTCTGGCAGCTTCCTGCACCCTGCAAAGTCAAGCCTCTGATACAGGCTTTCTGGGGATTACACACACACACACACACACACACACACACACACACACACACACGCACGCATGCACGCACACACATACACACACACACACGCGCGCGCGCGCGCACACACAGCCCTCAACTCCCAAGGATTGCTGGTGTGTGTAAATACTGCAGGTGAACAGATGAATACAGATCTCAGTCTGTGGTCCTGACAATTCCAACCTCAGATTTCAGCCCCAGCTCCAGGCCTGCAGTGAGCCTGGGGGTCTCCTAGAGACCCTGGAAGTCAGCTGGTACTTATTTCCTAGTAGTGAGAAGCAGGGACCCATATAGACTGAGAACAGCTGCTTGTTACTGAATGCCGACCACGTGTGAAGCTGCTCCGTGCTTCGTGCTGTGGAGTTTTCTTACTGCTCAGAGGGGGCGACACCCACAGCACTCCCCTGGTGATAAGGAGACTAGCAACAATCCCCAGTACTATATATGGAACACCCACCGTAAGCCAGGAGCTGTGCCTGCTGCCTTATGGGCCTGGTACCACCAAGCCTGGAGAACTAAAATGCATGTTACTCTAAGTGTAAACTCCAAAGCTCTCCACTGGCATTGCCCATCAGAGTCGGCGGCGTGGGTGAAGTGGAGCCAGTCAGTAGTGGGTCCTGCCCCCCGAGAGGGGAGAACTGGGAGGCTGATTGCCCAGACCAGATGTTGGCTGCATCTGTGCTGCCTTTAGCAGACAGCTGGCCTCAGACCCCCTCTTTGAATCCTCTCTGAGAGCAGCACCCCCTCCAGACCTCCTGGGGCAGCGAAGGAAGGGCCTCCACACCAGTTTGCTGGGGCCCAGCGCAGGAAGGGGGGTGGTGAAGCAAGGTGCCGCAGGTCACTCCTGATTAACAGCCCTGCCTCTCTTTCAGCCACTTAGCTCAAAACCCATTTGTTTGCGACTGCCACTTGAAGTGGCTGGCTGACTACCTTCAGGACAACCCCATTGAGACAAGCGGGGCCCGCTGCAGCAGCCCACGCCGGCTGGCCAACAAGCGCATCAGCCAGATCAAAAGCAAGAAGTTCCGCTGCTCAGGTAATCAGGTTACTGGAGTGGGGCCCCACTTTCTGACTCAGAACACAGCAGCCCCAGAGAGGCCAATAATCCAATCTGGAGGCCGGCGAGCGCTGTAATGGCTCCTGGGGAGCATCTTTGCAAATTAAATTGGGGAAATTCAGTTAGCCCTACAGAAAACCAATTACCTTATGGATTTAAAATAAAACACACTCACACAATAAAAGCATGGGGGGGGGGCGGGGCGGGCAGCTTGGGAGAAACAGAACCCAGGCACAGTCGGTCCTCCCTCCCTCCCTCCCTCCCAGAGTTTGGTGGAAGCTAGGAGACAGGGCTAGCTTCACACACACACACACACACACACACACACACACACACACACACACACACACGAGAGGAGGCCAAGATTATTTTGTAGTCTCTGAAGCAGATTCCCCAAATGGCACAGAAATACACAGCCCGGGCCAGGCCGCAGCCAGGCTTTAATACAGCCCTCGACCATAATGGGTTGGGTTACAGGTTTCACAAACACCTTCCCTATCTCCTTGAAGCAGATGGCGGCTCTCTGATGATACAGGGAACAGCAGGCTGTGGGAAGAAGCAAAGCCTGAGCTCCCATAACCCAGCCCTTATCTAGAGAATGTCTTCCTCCCTGCTCCCCGCCCCCCCCCACCACCCGGGAAGAACATGGAGACAAGTGGCAAAAGAATTCACAGCCCACCTTGTCAAGAAAGGTGGTCTCCTTGACCAGTGGCTGCAAGCAATTAGACATTGTTATCAGTTTCTCTTTTTCTACCGAAAAAAGAGCAGAGCTGTGCTCGCCCTCCCTGGTAAACCATCAGCAGGAGGTCCTGAGATAGGGTGAGCCAACCCGGACAGGGTGTGCCTGGGCAAGAACCGTGCTCCCACCCATCTCAAGAGAGTGCTCAGCCCAGGAACAAGGCCAGCATGGGGACTGGCCATCAGCAGACCAGCAGGCGGATTTTGGTTTCTTGTACCATGTTCTTTGTGCTTTAAGTCAAATTCTGTCGTATGTGTCACCAGCATGATAAAGTTTAGCCTTTTGTCATTCTATTTGCAGAGGCAAATAGCTGGAGAGGGTCTAGAGAGGTGCAGGGACTCTGTGGTAGGGTGATCCCTGGTTGCCCATTTGCCTTCCCCAGCATAGTGGCTGGCGAGATGACTTCCTTGGAGAGGCACAGTGCTTGAGTGGTCCTAATTTGACTTGCTTCTTCTAGTAGCTGCTTGAAGTCAGCAGATGAGACCCTGCTCTACAGCAGAGAGAGCCGAGGGCTCCAAGGTGAAGGGCCACCCGCACATCACAGTCACCGGCAGTAGGGTCAGGACCAGGCTCCACATCGCTCTCTCCTTGACGCTATTTAATATCTAGAAGGAAAGCGGTCTAACTGCTTTGAGTTGCTTTCTTCCTAGTCTCTTGGATCCGCTTCTAACCCCCAAACACTTCCTTAGATTCCTCCCGAAGTCTGGTAGCATCTCTGGGTAGAAAGTCTCCCCCCAGCACCAAGTGTCATCTCTCGCAGACCAGTCCTTGCCAAGGCTTTCCTCATGACAACCCCCAGCTGTATTCCCTCTTTTATCTTTGCCTACTCAGGTCTGAGTTAACTAGCTTGGCCAGTTAGTGGTTCCCATGGAAAGGATGAAGGAAGTCGGAGGAGGGCAGGAAGCCACCTGCCATCCTTGACCCTCAGCCTCACGAGTGTCTTGCCCATAACCAGGACCTCAGATTGCATCTGAACCCTGGGCGGCGGCAGTACAGGGATATAATCAACACTGGATCCAATGACAGGTGCCCTATAGAATTAGTCATGGCAATGACCTAGCATTGACTGAGCCTGGGACAGGTAGCAAGGTATGGGTGATGCTTACAGAAAGAACAGAGTAGGGAACAAGAACTAGACAGTGGAACTAGGAAACAGTAAAGCTAGTTTTCAGTCTAGCTGTGCCAGCATCTGCCTATCTACCTTGGTGTTTACAGGGTCTTGCTTCCTATGAGGGGCAGAAATGGACAGCAAAGAAACAGGGCGAAGAAGACAGAATTCTCAAGTTGACTTTGTCTAAAATATCACTTTAAAAAATACTAAACAAAAAGCCTATTCCTGTAGAGGCAGTGATGTCCAGAATCCAAATGAGCTTGACTTAGAGCATTTGGTATGCTTTTATGTAGCTGTAGGGGAGGAGCAGAGAGGTTACCACTGAGCTCCAAAAGCTTTGGCTTTGAGAAACACCAGGACCCATACCTCCCTTGGCCTTGGGGGATACAGAAACCATAGCCCTGAAGATTTGTGTTTCTAGGAAGCTCCAGAAAGGGGAGGGGTGAGGAGTGGCAGATGACATGGACTTGAGCTGACAGATAATAACTCTGCATTGTACTTTCCCCTAAAAGCAGCCCCCTTGAAAAGACAGCTGATGTGATTAGGAGCCAATTTGAGGGCTGCTTCTGCAACATGCACAGCCTCTCCCTGGGTAGGGCGTCTGGTTCCCAGCCACTTTGCTCTGCCTCTATCCGCTGCATCCACCGCCCTGGACCAAGATCAGTTTAGGGGTGGATGCTGCCCGCCAGGGGTGATCTAATGGATCCGATTAAGTCCTTCAGCAAGGCCCCACCCCAAGGAGCACTTGACAGCTGAAGGACACTGCCTGTCTTCTATCAGGCTGCCCCTTTGTTTCTGTAAGAATGGCTTCTTCTTAAAGTACAGTACTTTTTGGGTACAGCCCAGGGACACTTTAGAAACCTCAGAGTTCATCCAGTCCATTCTTGAGACAAAACTGAGAACCACAGCAGAAAAACCCCAAGTTCAGGCTATCATTTTCTAGACATGACCACTAATGCTATGATGATTTTAGCATACTAGGAAGATCCCAGATCATTTGCCTCTGGGACCCTCCAAGTCCCTGTAGAGAAACAAAGCAAAGAGAAGGCCCGGGAGGAACTTTATAAATTATGTTTTATTTGTTTGGAGTGTGTGTGTGTGTGTGTGTGTACACGTACGTGTGCGCTGTGCACGCAGCATAAAACAGCAGAAGTATGGAGGTCAGAGGACAGCTCCCAGGAGTCTGTTCTTCCACTGTGTGGAGCTTGGGGATCAAACTCAGGCCACCAAGGCTTGGTGTAGCACATGGCTTTACCTGCAGCCCATCTTCCCAGCCGCACAAGGAGGTTCTAAAATCTGTGAAATGCGCCCTGCTCACACTGAGGCCCTGCTCACACTCACAGGAGAAATCTTAGAACCAGAGTGTTGAAGAGCTCTGCAGCTCTGGGTGTCGAACTGCAGTAGAGCCCACAGTACCATTCTCAGCTGTAGTCTGTAAGATCAGGGTGGGGGAAGAGCTGTGGATGGGGCCAGGCATGGACATGGGTGTATACTGACTGGACCGTTATTGGGTCCAATTAGACAACTGGGATGCTGAGAATGAGAACATCTTGGCAGTGAACCAGGCCCCAAAACATATGGTAGAGGAGAGTGACCTCTCCCTCCTATCAGAGGTCAAGTCTCAAGCAGGGACGGTCAGCCACCTGGCTATGACTCTTATTTCTTTGAGATATGCACAACTCCAGCCTGATGCCAAGTAGGAAGAAGGCTGACCTATGGAAGATGGGATATACAGATGGAGTCCATGGCACCCAAGACCCCCTGACTGGCTCTGCCTCATCCTTTCCCATGATTCCCAGCCAGAAAAGGGATGTAGAAATCAGAAAGACCCTAAAGTTAGATATCTTACCCTCCAGCTAATCCATTGGTTCTCCAGCCCTTTCCTTCCTTGTCTTACTCTGACAAAGGCCCCTTATCAGACGCCGGCCTCTAACCACTGGCCATGCAATTGGCCTACCTCTGTGACAGTGTTCAAAGACCATGGTGACTGTAGGTGTCTTGTTCTCAAACCTAAGGCCCCGCTGACTCTCCCTTCCTTGTCCATCTGAGAATATGTGGTTTTAATTCTACACTCTTCCTCTACCACACCTCAAGCCATCTGGGGTGAACTGGCTATCAGCCCAAGGGACCCAGGGACCCTGCAAGGTACTCAGGAGCCTCCTCAGTCATGGGATGTTAAAGGGAGCTTTTGCCTGGAGAGGAGATTATGCTGTGTTAGACCGATGAGAACTATGGGAAATCTCTTTCATTAAAAGGCATAGACGGCCACAAGGCTCCTCAGCTGTGGGGTCAGCCCTGGGTCACAGAGCGTTGAGAAGACGCGTTGCTGACCGTGTCATATCTTCGTGTCATATCAGATCACATGGTTGGTGGGTTGGGGCAGACTTTGCAGGCTCCATCGGGGTCAGTGTGTAAGTGGTATGTCGCCTGCCGGGATGCTCCTGGGTGTGAGTGTCTGATGGCTTCCCACCTGTCCCTCTGTCCTACTGAGTCTCCCTGGGGCCGGGCACAGGGAGGCGCCCCTCCCCACCCCCGTCTTTGGCAGGATCCCGTGGAACGCACTACTGGCACTAATCACGCTCAGTGGGGGCCTGCTCTGGCTTCCACTTCTCCACGCTGCTTCCTCTGAGCGCTCCTGTCCTCTCTCTGATGCCTGCTTCCTGACCTTGACTCTGACCAGTTGCCGCGGGGCTTTCCTTTGTGCTTGATCTAACCATGTGGTGGAACGATGGAAACGGAACATGGTTCTGTCAAGCACCGCGGAAAGCATCGCTCTCTCCTGCAGCATGGCCCGCCGCCACCGCCGCCACCGCTGGACTCTTCTCTGCTCTGGATCACCGCGCCTGCCAGACCCACCTCTCCCAGTCTTAATGCACAGAGGGAAGGGGGTGGGAATCCTGAAGGAGTCAGGTGCATGGCGACAGGAGTTTAGAAAAACTCCACAGGGGCCATGCTGGGAGTATCCACAAATCCTATGCAAATGGAGTCACTCTGCTCCAAGTCTAGTTCTCAAGTGACCCCAAGGGTGACAGCTGGGTTCCAACTTCCCATTTGAAGAAGACAAGTGTATCTAAGGCATAGGCCCCCTTGTTTCATGGGAGAGTCCCAGCACCAGGTCACCGAGTGGTACCTAATGCAAAGGGTGAGTCATCCTGCTCAGGACTTTAATCCAGCACCTCTCTTGGCATGCACTTCATTTGAAATGAATGTAAGCGTGAGAATAGATGGAACTGACATGGGTCTGAGACCTTGAACTTGAACTGGGACTCCTTCTGACCCCACCTCTTACTCCTCATGAATACTTAGACCTAGATCCTGGTGAAACCTGATATCCAACCTGTTTTCTTAACCTTGGACCACAGTTACCATGGAGGTATGGAGCTCTTCATCTGGTGCCATTTCAGAGGCCGGGAGAAGTCTACACAGACAATGGCTGTCCCTACCACAGAGAGAGGGATCTTGGCACCTTCTCTTTAATTTGTTTCTTGATAATCCTGGGCCTGGTATAACCAGTAAGTAGACTTTGTTGTGGTTTGGTGCTAGAGTCTGTATCTTACTCCATGAGTAAGAACTAAGGTGGACACAAACCCATACTTAACAGTAGGAACAGGATTCTGTGTCCCCACCAAGCTGTGTGGCTCTAATTATCTCCTCTGATTGTGACTCAGAGAAGGGCCCCAGCCACTGATGAGTTAATGGGTATCTCTGAACTTTTGAACATATATAGAGTTCTTACTGTTGGCCAGGCTCTGGATGTTTCACATTGTCACCCTAATTCCATAACACTTTAGATCCCATTTTACAGATCAGAGTGTTGAGGCAGGATATTAACTAACTGGCCCAGGGTAATCTAGCTCCCTACTGGCTGTGCTTTGCCTCAGTGCTGTCAAGCCCTTCCTCTTCTGGACACTCTTTGCCTTGAAAGGAAAATTTGTGGAAACATTGACTTGAATTGATAGGGCGTTGAAGGTGTTTTTCACATTCTCTTTCCAGCTCATATCTGTCATTAGAAATGAGTAAAAAGGAGAAAGCATTGTTCAAGTGGCCCTTCTCCTACATCAGGAGTGTACAAGATACCATGGGTATAAGCAAACCCTCCTACGGAGAGAAGAATCTTTCCCCTCCGTGTAGAGGGGACATTCTTAGCACTGCCCACATCAGGCGAGGGCCAGGCCTTTGGGAATGAATCCATGATAGCACTCTTCCTCTGCATCTCCGTGATGCTTTGGCAGTAGGCACACGGGTCTCTCCCTCTGCTTTCAGGAAGGTGACTGGGATACAGGGACAGCTTCACACCCAGAATGATAGCCAAACTTGTTCCAAAACGGCTAGTGTTTCTCAACCACAGGTGTCTGGTTCCCCCCGCCTGGCCTAGGAATGGATGTCTGTCTGTGTGCAATGTCCTTGATTCCATTCGCCACTCATGACTTGTCCCTTGGCTTGTCCCTATCACTTTCTTTTCAAGCCGATAAACCCTGAGAGGCCTTTGAACACACCCACCCCAGTTCCTTTTTCTGAAGTTCTCCCTCTCATCTCGCCCATCTTGGAGATGCTTGGGATAGAGGAGGAGAATGCTGAACAGCAGGCTTCCCCTGCTGACCAGATAGTGATGAACCTTAGATGCTTCACACCTCCCTCCCAGACGTAGGTGTAGAACAAGGGTATATAATAAAATAAAATTAAAAGTTGCTGTCGATTTTCACCTTTCCCCCAACCTCTGTCTATTAAAGTTTGTCTATGATTGTGTACCATGTGTTGTTGTTCTGAGATGTCTGCAAGTGGGGGGAAGGCCTACAAGGGCAGAGGCAGGCACAGGCTAGGTGATACCAGCTCCTCTGGGGCCCGCTCCACCTGGGGTTGAACTTTCTGGCCTGTCTTCAGATCCTGCAAGATCCCTCCCATCTGAGCTCACCCCAGAGAGGCGGAGCTGTAACCTATTTCGGTTGGTTCTCTCCTCCGAAGTATTTCTGGCAGTGACAAATATGCATTGAGATTGAAATTGACTTTTAAGGCTCTGGAAAAGTTAAAAATACTTTTGGGTAGTTATGAGCATTAGACATAACAAATGGCTCCGAGGAACCCTGGGTAGCTTCCGTAATGAAATATGAAGTGACGGAGGTGGCATTTCGTGCTGGCTCTGACTGGGAAATGAACTTTTTCGGTTATGTACATAGGCTGTTATTAACATTTCTGGTTCCCACTCATAGAAAATATCACTTTCCGACCCCCTCGTTATTACAAACCAGGGCAATAACAAAAACAGCAGGGGGAGAAATGCTAGAGAGAACACATTAGTCCATCGAATCTAATTGCAAAATCATTTCATTAAAATGGGTCAGCAGCTCCACTGCAGAGGTCTGCCAGTTATAACCCAACGATACTACTGAGAGCGATTCCTGCTAACTACAGACTGCTCTCACCTTGATTAAAACGAAAATGCATTTAATAGGCGGCCGTCCCCAGCCAGTGCACATTCAGCCGGCTCACAGTGAAGTGCAAACTGGGCTCGCTCCTGTCTTTCTACCTTTGATCAGGAGTCAGGGTTCCTCTGTTTTGCAAGTATCCCATTACAGACATGTTCTGAAGGAAACATAACCATGCACGTGCAGAATGCCCCCCCCCTACAATACCGCCATGTACCTTCACTGACAAGGACGGAATTCCAAGTTTGCATTTGGCAAGAGCTGCAGAATAACCTAGCACTCCTGTGTGTCTAAAGAGAAATGGTGCAGACTCAGGGTTTATTCCGTGGGGTGAAGCGTGCAGGCCAGGAAAAAGATTTACATAAAACAGTGTGCCAGGAAGCTGCGGTAAAACTGTGAAATATGTGTATAGATTCTGTTCATACAAGTCTAGCGGGGGCAAAGGGAGATGAAGGAAGTGGGTGGGAAGGTAGAGAGGAACAAAGGAATACATCCAGATTTCTGACTCCTTGTTTCAGATAGTGTCACTTGAGAATGAGAGGCCCACCGATTTTGTTCCCGGTCAGCAGTGACCACAGGAGGATAAACCAGAGCAGAGCATGCAAGAGTAAGGGAGGGAGGCGGGCATTTGCTCGCTTCTTTGTCATAGCTCACTGAGGAGAAACCCACTCCGTCTGCCTCCACCACATCGGACTTTATGGCTGTTTCTAGAGATGTGGGGGTAAAGGTTCAATCTCAAAGCACACTAAAGCCTACTTAGCATTAGTCACGTGCGTCTCTGAGAGCTAGCCCTAGTCTATTCACCAGGCACCGCAACAACCCCCCCCCACCCCCGTAGACCTTAGGGTCTTCATCTACAAAGTGAAGTTCTAACCCTAGGGGTTAAAAGGAACCACCCATTTGAAGTTTGGAGAAAAGCAGCTGCCTGCTGCTTCAAGTGCAGTGACTGTTGGTTGCTCTCATCAGCTCCAGTGGCGTTTCTGTGACTTCCAAATACCAGATATCTGTCAAGATATACGAAAGCTCGAGAGTAGACTCACACGTGTCCGTACCATGCTTGCCTTTTCCTGGAGACTCCGCCTCTGGTGTAGTCTCATCTTCACACAAACCCCTGGGAAATAGGAGCTAGGAAGTTGCAAAGGCTGGCCAAGTATACCGCTACAACCTAGGAGCTGCTCACACTCCATGTAGCCATGCTAATGCTTCAAGCCGTTCACCAAGCACCCAGTGTTCATGGACTCAAACACTTCAGAAATACACACAGGATCCTCAGGTGCTGGTGGCATTCCACTTGTGCCTTAGACGAACATGAGCTGAGCTCACATTTTATACCTAGCAATGCACTAATGAAATGTGGGTGTGAGAGCATGAATACGCCCCAGCATAACAGGCTCACATCAGGAGAGCCGCACGCCCCTCCCCATTGCCACTAGCATAATTCATGTGCTCACAGAGGTCTGTCTGACTGCCCCCAAGGGCATGTCTCAGAGACATCAGACTGTCAGGCCTGTTGCCATCACCAAATGACCTTGAAAGAAATGAAATTTTGAAAAAAATAAATCTTAGCTCCAACTTCTAGCTCATGGGAACTAGCCTTTTATTGGCATTAAAGAGAACTTCCTCTCTATGCGGAAGTCAGGTCCGCCCCTCAGATGCATTTTGTTTTCACTGTGTTTGAAAATTGGATTCATTGCCAATATATTTTAAATATCTGACTTCTCTTAAAACAATAACACGCCGGGTGGTGGTGGCGCACGCCTTTAATCCCAGCACTCGGGAGGCAGAGCCAGGCGGATCTCTGTGAGTTCGAGGCCAGCCTGAACTAACAAGTGAGTTCCAGGAAAGGCGCAAAGCTCCACAGAGAAACCCTGTCTCGAAAAACCAAAAAAAAAAAAAAAAAAAAAAACCAATAACACGAAGAAATCTCAGGCAGCTGTAAGCCAGATTCCCAAAGCATGAGAGCTGTGGGCTCCAGATACCCTAGTACTCCAACATCCTCACTGAAGTCAGTCAGGCAAGATGCTGCTTGTCATTTAGCACCAAATGAGTATCTGGCCTCCTTCACACATTGCCCGCAAGGCCAGGAAGACCTCTAAGTATGTGACCCCTTCTCATACCTTTGTCCTACCCTCCAGTAACCCCCACAAAAGTCCGATCTTAATGTCCAGTTTATAGATGGTAAACATCATGGAGCCAGGAATCTCCTACAACTGTCGGCTGGATTCTATGTAGGTGCCTTGTGGTATTTCTCTGAACAGAGCATCTGTAACATTAGGCAGCTTCTCTAAAGATCCATGACCCATAAACACGTAAGAGCCCACAGATCTGAAGCCTTGCTTCTCGGAAGACAGAAAGTGATGAATGACAAAAGACCATGTGGGAAACAACGTAGATGAGGGGTGTGGCCGGCAATATGGCCAAATGGATATTTATCGATATTGTCTACTATTCGATATTTCACCATATAAGCAGTTTCTCCCAAGCCTGCATACACACACACACACACACACACACACACACACACACACACGCACACATGCATACCTACACCTACCTCTACCTCCCCACCTTCACTCCCCACAACGTTAGACCTTGTGCCAGGAAACCCAAATGATGATGACAACCCCCTCTTTGGCCCCACATAGGCTCTGAGGATTATCGCAACAGATTCAGCAGTGAGTGTTTCATGGACCTCGTGTGCCCTGAGAAGTGCCGCTGCGAGGGTACCATTGTGGACTGCTCCAACCAGAAGCTGGCCCGCATCCCGAGCCACCTCCCTGAATATACCACTGACCTGTAAGTCCCACCGTCTTGAGAGCACCGCACCCCCCCCCACATCTCTTTACACATACCTAGTCACTTGGAGTTAACTCGAGTGGGGTCTTCTGTGTACTTGACTGAGAATGACACCTGTCTATACATGGGCAGGTTGCTTGCCAATAAAGACCACTCGTTGGTTCTATGAATGTTTTCTGAACACTGACCATAAAGCAGGCACTGCTCTAGGCTTACATTTCTACAATGATCAAAGCGAATGGCACCTGCTGGCCCTTCAGAACTTACAGTATCACCAGAAAAAATCAATATTAAATAAAAATTATTACTGGGCAAAAATACAACTAAGATGATTAAATATATCTGAGCCACCTAATAGCCATGCTAGAAAGGGACATTGATTTGTCCAAAACTGGGCAAGGGTGTGAGGACAGTCTGGCTGCAACATCTGTCAACAGACTGATCACCAGGGTTGATTCTGCCAATCTGGCCAGCTAGGTGGGTGTCCCCACCCTCCTTCACTGCTCCATGTACGTACCTCCAGAAGTGGCACACTTGGCTACAGAGGATGACCTTCCCTGATAGAACCCCCAAACAATCTCTCAGGGTCTAAAAAGGGACAGACTAAGACTTGAAGCATGGTAGAGGATAAAGGATGGCCTGTGGGGCTAAACAGACCTGACATTTACCTCACCTCTGTTCCCTCCAGCCTCCCTGAGACTGGCCAAGCTGCCTCTCAGATCTGAAGCCCAGTTTCCAAGCTGTAACAGGGACTGGGGGGAGGTGGAGGGGGATAATGTCTCCCTTTACACTTCAGAAGGTCTAGAAAGAGACGCAAGCACAATATTCCTCTTGACTCTTGGCACAGAGTGAGCCCTGGATACACAGTGGCAGACTTATAGCTGGTGTTGCTGTCTTTGACCTCTGTAGTCAGCTGGAGGGCACAGCAAGGCTCTGAGCACAGAGATGCTGGGTGCGGGGACCCTGAGCCCCCTTGGAAGACAGAAGTGGTCAGGAAGAGATGAGCAAGTTGGGCTCAGGTGACCCTGAGGAAACCTCCCTGGGAGCTTGGGTTGCCATTGGTACCCCCCTAAAATGGAGCCAGGTACTTGCTATTTGTCTGTGTGTTTAAAGAACAATGGATATCAATGCAGCGTATGCAAGAAGCCATACGGGAGGGCTCGGCCTCAGTGTCTTTCTGGGTTTTCCCATCCACCTCTCCCTGCTGAACCCCTCGCCTCATGCCAAAGTCTTTCGTGATTCTCTTGAACTTTGCTGACTGTGAAGTTACAGGCAGAGTTCAACCAGAGCCGTGTGAGGAAGACTGGTAGCCAAGGAGGTGCCTTACCCTAGCTAAGCCCTGCTTCTTCTGGCTTCCCATGTAGGCGACTGAATGACAATGACATCTCTGTCCTGGAGGCCACTGGGATCTTCAAGAAGCTGCCCAACCTGCGAAAAATGTAAGTCAAGTTGGGGGACCCAGCAGCCACCTCAGCTTCCTGCCCCTCACCCTTCACTCCTGCCCCCCCCACCCCTGTCCCCTGCCGTGTCCAGGACTGGACACCAGGGACACAGCACCGACCAGCATCAAGTGTGGCTGTCATTGAGTTGCCAGACATCAGGTGGACCATACGTTCCACACCTCCTTGTCTCCCTTCCCGTGTCCCCTCTACTTGTCTCTGCCCCCAGCCCACATTAAGCATCTACCTCAGAAGGTGGAGGGGGAACGTGGACCTGGAACAGCAATGCAATGGGGATGTCTGGGACCTGTGGTACTTGGCATTTGGGTGAGGTCTGCATGGGAGGGGCACATCAGAAAGGAATCCCCAGCTGCTCTTGGTAGGTTTGGTCATAGAGTCCGCTGGTCTGAGTAGAGTCTGGGCAAAGGACTCACATGCTGTTACTGGCTTCCATAGTGCATGGCTACTTGTTTCCCGACCCTCTCTCCCTTCGTAGGAGTTGGGGCCAAGTCTTAAAGACAGCAAGAAGGATGTTGCCGCTGTGATAGCCCTTGTCCTTGGCCAGGGCGGCATGCCCACCTCACAGATATCCACTGTCTTTAGTCTTCCTTCAGCCATCTTGTGCTGGCTTCAGGTTCTGTGCTGGGCAGGTGAGGGAGCCATAGCTCAGAGAAGTTCAATGACCTCTCTAAGGCCACACATTGAATACATGTCAAAACTGGATCTCACACTTGTGAGGTCAGGCTTGCTTCCCGCCTCACCCCTTCTGAGTGCCTCTGCAGAGGTGCCAGCACAGAGAGGTGAGCTTCCCACCCTCTGACTCCCAGGGCACACTTGTCTTTAACCATCCTTCCTACCCCACCCCATACCCCATATCTCCCAATGGTGTCTATTTCTTCAACAAGGCAAATGCAGTCCATCGTTACTTACCAAATTCTATATGTACTAACTCATCTCTGTACCAAAATTCATACAACTCTAAAATCACAATTTTCCAATCTGTTTGTGTCATTTACATACATATGGTAGTGAAAGACCCACTCACCCCAGCATGCATCCCTTAACTGGGCCACACATTCCCAGCTGAGGCTGAACACGGGGATGCTCTGCCTTCCGGGTCCAGCTCTCACACTGTAAGCCAGTATCCACTTTACAGTTTATCAAATAGCGTGTGCTTTGCAGTTTTGTGCTTTTTAGTGCCAACTTTGGCCCAAGCGCAGTGCTGGCACACTGTCTAGATACCCAAAGTCTGAGAGAGCTGTGCTGTGCCTCACTGAGGGCACACACGCTGTGGAGAAGCCTCGTGCGTTTGTTCAGGCATGAGCCCAGCACTGCTGGCCATGAGTGTAATGTTGATGGATCAATAGCATAGTAAATACAGTGTCTGAGCAGAAACACTCACAGAACAAGCTTATTATTGATCGGTTGATGGAAATGCCATGACCAGGGGCTCACAGGAGCCTCATCTAGTTTCCCCGGGAGCAGTGATTCAGTGTGTGCTCATTCAGTGTTCCTGGTGATACAGAATGGAAGAACCATGAATCATGAGGATTGTCTGTAACTCCTCATTTCCTGTTCATCAGACTTCTACCCATCAGTACCCTGCAGCCAAGGGAACAGACACCTTCTAGACCCTATGCAGCTGCTCTCTCAGTGGCACCACTTACGCGCCCCTGCTGACTACAGCCACTGCCTTTAGCCAAAGGCCCCTGTAAATAAATGTCTGTCTGGAGCAGGAGATGAGCTAGTTCTCTGAGGGGACAGCTGAGACCAGAGCACATGGAAGGTTGGTAAGGCTGTCACTGTGGCCCAGCACCCGTGAGCTTGTGGGACCCCGCACAATTAGCAACCACTTCGACGTGTCCTTTCCATTTCTGACCGGAGAAAAGTGCGCTTTGGTTTCAACCTCCAGACAGATGTGGAGGTGAATATGGACGTGAGGAAGGTATTGAAATGAGTCAAGCTGCACAACCACCTGTTTGCCCAGCAAACGGGATCCCAGGAGTCTCTGCTTCTGCAAAGTAGACACTGTCCCCGTGCACGCCTTTTAGGTAAAAGTCACACAGATTGTGTTCCCACTTGCGGTGGGGATGTGAGCACAGAGAAATACTGCCGTAGGCGAAGGGAAACAAGAATACGAATGTGTTACAGAAGGCAGCTGGTCCCCCTCCTCAGCCACGTGCAATGGACGTGAGCCTGGCCAAATGCAAGCTCAGATCTCAACCGAAAGAGCAGACGCCACTCAGCTAGGCCCTATGTTTGCCATGCAGGAGTGGAGGTCGGGGCTGCTGAATATCTCCCACTGCTCCAGGCCAGCTGAACATTCAGGTGTGGGGCAGAACCTGCAGGCTGGCCTGCAGTCACCTGAGCTCAGCTCTGCTCTTGTCCACTGTGTGATCCTAGGAGACCCTTTGGGGAGGGGGGTTACTTAGTTTCATCATTTGCATGGTGAATGAAATGAAAAATGAAATAAATTCATTTTTCCTGTGAATGAAGAGGAGGAGCAGAAATAAACAGGTGACAAGGTGCTGCTCAGAGGAGGGGTGCCTGCCTAGTATGCACAAGACCCCGGGTCCAATCCCCGATACTGCGCAAACAAATCGGAAGAAATAAGGATGAAAGGTGAGGCCTCGCCAAGGTGTTGGCAAGAGATGATGTCAGATCCAGTGCCAGACATCTGGGCCAAGCAGCCTGAAGTATCCACTTACATACGTAAACAGCAGTTCTGCACAGACAGTCTGGGGAGCCCAGGGAGTAGGGCAAAGGTGGGACGTGGCTGGGAAGGCTCTGATGACCTTGATGGTAACAGAACCAACAATAGCCAGCAGTCAACACTTACTGTTCGCTCTGTGCCAGAAAGTTCTAGTGTTTATTTAATGTTGCCCTCACCAAGCAAAACCAACGGCTTTGGGACTGCTCTGTTCCATACATGAGGAAGCAGAGACACAGAATGTTAAGTAACTTGTCCGAGTTTAAAACTCAAGCAGGAAGCAGTCTGTGTGTGTATCCATGTGTTTGTCTGTCCATCTCTGTGTGTATGTCCCCATGTGTGTGCCCATGTGTGTGTGTCTATGTGGTGTGTCCATGTGTGTATCCATGTATATATGTCTGTGTATCCATGTGTTTGTGTATGTCCATCCGTGTGTGTGTGTGTGTGTCCATGTGTGTGTATCCCCATGTGGTGTGTCTGTGTGTGTGTCCATGTGTGTATCCATATATTTGTGTGTACCCATGTGTGTGTCTGTGTGTGTGTTTGTATCCACACACTCATCAGTACCAACCAACTGACTAAGACCCCACAGGGTGAATCCAGCCCCAGACCACCAGCTGCAGTGAAGAGTTCTTGTGCTCTGGACCAGTCACTACCCTACTCCCCGACAGCAGTGGTTGTGGGTCAGGATATCTGACGGTATAGTGGCTGAGGCCAGTGTTGTAGACCTGTTGAGCTGCCTTACAGTTGGGCCAGGCCCCTAAGGCTGCCTGGTTCTGAATCTACCATTTCTGATTCCAGCAGAGGTGATGGGACCCTGCCGTGCTTCCTGCGTCTCTGGCCTTTACACTGGAGCAGCTCCACACAGCTTCTCAAAGGGCATCACGGCCATGAGCCGCTCAGTGTAGGACATTTGCCTAGCATGCTTGAGGCCCTGGGTACCACCCCTAGCACAGAGAGATTTGGAGGGGGCGTGTAGAAAGACAGGAGGGAGGGAAGGAAAGGGGGGAAGGAAAAGAGAAAGAGACTCCATATTCAGAGCTGTGGCCTCCTCTACCTGGGCTCAGACTGGGAGCTGCATGAATCCCCTGTGTGCCTCTCTGTTCTTTGGGGAGAATGGAGTTGGGCACCTGCAGAGGCAGTACACATGAGCCCTCTGAGCCTTTCTGAGGCTGGGCCGTTAGAGCCACAGAGAAGCACCTTTCTCTGGATAGGTCTGTGGAGACAGGGAGAGAGCCCACTACATCTATGTTTTGAGGCCTCCTGGGAGCAGCAGTGTCTCAGGGAGACAGTTCATTGGGACTACATCAGAGTTCTTAGACAATCCAGATACGGAGCTGGAGAGATGGCTCAATGGTTAAGAGCACTGGCTCTCTCAATTCCCAGCAACCACATGGTGGCTCACAACTGTCTCTAATGAGATCTGGTGTCCTCTTCTGGCATGCATGCATACATGCAGACAGAACACTGTATACATAATAAATAAATAAATCTTTAAAAAAAAGAATAGAAAAGAAAAGAAAATCTAGATACACGCATTCTCTAGAATATTTGCTCCAAGCTACACTCTGCCCCCACCCCCCGCTACAGACTCCAGTGGTAAGCTCAGCTTTGATGGATAGGGAGGGAACAACAGCCAGCTCTTCTAGAAAGTACTACAACTGCCCGTCTCTCCCGCCCTACTTCTGTTTTTCCTTCTCCCAGACTAAGGAAATGCAATTCGCAAACCTTCCAGAAATGGGATGTTAATTTTGCTCTGTTGAAGAAACAGATGTCAGGGAATAGGCACACACACACACACACACACACACACACACACACACACACACACACACACCTCCACAGCTCTAACTCGTCTTCATTGTCCAGCTCTGCATGCTAATCCTCAAGCAGCCCCTTGCCCTGGAACCTAACCCTTTTAGGAAAGCCTTGACCTCAATTCCTACTCTAGTTTAGGGGTCCTATGTGGTCTCCCCCATGCATTCCCTCTGTTCCTGACTTATTCCTGACCAAGACAATAGGAATTGATAAGGAAACAGTCTGCGTACCAGTTTATCACAGAAATGGATCCCAGTTCAGGAGTGCCCCAGCTAACAAGCTTTAGGGGAGGGACTTTGGGGGGTGTTAGCAGTAGAGGAAGGGGTTGGGGAACAGAGAAAAAACAAAGAGAAGATGATTTTAAAAATCATCCCTCCACAGCTGTCTCCAGGGGTAGGCGCTACTGTTCCCTGGGTGCCCAGGCCACCGATGGGAAAGGAAAAATGTCTTACATTGAGCCCTTGGGTACCATTATTTCATCGTGTGCTTCAAATTGGTCCCTTGTCCCTCTGGGAGGCTTCATCCCTGTGCTCTGTGAAAGGGTTGGTATGGCCCCATATCCATTCAAGGCCTTGGCATAAAGCAGTCTCCACCCCCACCAAGAGGTTTGGGCATATGGCCAGTGTCTGTGAGCGAGCCCAGCAGTTCAGACAACCTCACATGCTCAGTGAGTCTGTGGCGTCCTCAGAGTTTCCCGTCCACAGTATGAGCACCATCAGGCTTTGTTCCACCCGGAAGACCATGAGTGCCTTCAGCCTGGACCACAGGATGGTCCAGAGAATCCCTGCTTCTGGCTCCTGAAAGAACCCTGGGAACTAGAATTTTCCATGGCTGTGCAGTATCTGCCTGCTGTCACTGTCCTAGCGTGGTCCCCCATGCTGTGGACACCAGGTATCAGAGAGAAAGGCTTGCTCTCAGAGCTGGGGCAGACTCAGGAACGGCAGCGCTAGGGCTGGGCAGGAACAGGATGCTGTGAGAAAGCCAAGATCCCAGGACCGGGGAGATGAATCTGTTGGTGGGGTGCTTACTGTGCCTATAATCCTAGAATGGGGGAGAAGAGACAGGAGGGTCCCTGGGCTCCCTGGCCATCAGTCTACCAGAATCAGATAAGCTCTAGATTCAGTGAGAGACCATGTGTCAGAAAATAAGGCAAAGAACAACTGAGAAAGATACCTGATGTTGACCTCTGGCCAAGGCACACACACGTACTCCCATGCATGTATGCGCATGCACGCGCGTGTGTGTACACACACACACACACACACACACACACACACACACACACACACACACACACCAAAACCTCCCAACTTGAATTCTGCAGCTCAGTTATACAAGGGAGCGAGTCCTCACATCTCCAGAGAAATAATCACGTATAGAAGGGAAGGAGGGACTGGTCAATGAAATGTTTCTTGTGTCCCAGAAAGCCTAGCTTCACAGCCCAGCTCTTTCAGCTGTGTGAATCTGGGAAAGTCACTCAATTTTCCTGGAACCCAATGTCCTCATCCATAACATTGGACAGTGGTACCTGTCGGGTGTTGTTTGAGGGTTTGATGAGGTCATGGTGGTTGGCCTCTCCTAAAAAAGAAATAATGCAACAAGTATTAAGTAAGAAGTGTCCGTCTGCTTGTAAGGGCTCCTACTGAGAGACCTACAAGCCCTTCAAATGTCTTCACCCTCCTGGAGGGCTGCTGTATGTTTTTCTTAGTCCCTCCTTTGAGGACCACTGCTCAGTGGGAGCCCTTGGTGAAGGGAAGAAATAAGAGTGAATCTTCCAGAGCATTCAAAAAATGATTACATTGAAAACACTTTAAGTCCTGGACTCTGTGCGTTACTCCACCTGTCAAGAGGAGTGCCTCTCTGTCCCAGAGCACAGATGCTGAGAACCCAATGTCAGGGAGCTGGAGGCTAAGCTCCTGCCACCTGCCTGATCCTCCCGCTTCTACCCCCTCCTTCTAGAAACCTGAGCAACAATAGGATCAAGGAGGTGCGAGAGGGTGCCTTCGATGGAGCAGCTGGCGTTCAGGAGCTGATGCTGACAGGGAACCAGCTGGAGACCATGCATGGGCGCATGTTCCGGGGCCTCAGTGGCCTCAAGACACTGTGAGTACCCAGACCTGGGCTCAGGTCCAGAGCGGGGAGGCAGGAGGCAAGGGAATGAGGGCTGGACTGTGAAGGCTGTGGACAGGGAGCCGAGTCAGGCACCGTCCTGGCCTGTGGGTTCCTTCCTCCCCACAGCATCAGACTTTTCCACCTTTAATGCAAAGAAGCTGACATGCTGAGCCCACCAGCATGTCCACACACCTAAGCACATCCCACTCAGAGCCACTCTAATGCAATCATGTGCCTGTTCATACCAGTAACATATATGCTGAGGGATGCACACAAACACTCACGTTCCCGCTACTCATACACACAGAAACACATGCTGTGCCCCTAAATACATCTGCAAGCAAACATCCACAGTCAAGCACATACACATACACTGAACCCAAATGTGGGTCCACTTCCTTCTGAACATACATGTACACACTGACAACCACACAGGTGCACATGGATAGCTGTGATTTGTGTTTACGGTGTGGCTCGGTTACTTTTCTTTTGTTGTGAAGAGACACCATGACCAAGGCAACTTATAAAAGAAAGCATGGGACTTGCTTATAGTTTTAGAGAAAGAGTCCATGCCCCTGGAGCAGTAGCTGGGAGCTTACATCTGATCCACAAGTGTGAGGCAGAAAGAGAGAGGCAGAGAGAGTCAACTGGAATGACATGGCCCTCTGGAACCTCAAAGCCCACCCTCCCCAGTGACACACCTCCTCCAACATGGCCACCCTCCTGATCCTTCCCAAACAGTTCCACAAATTAGGAACCAAGCACTCAAACATAGGAACCTGTGGGGGCCATTCTCACTCAAACCATCACCACACAGTGTGTGAAGTACACATTCATAGACACCAGTGTTTGTCCCAGTGAGAATCCAGGTCCTGCCCATCACCAGACAAACCTGAACGGTGACTGGCTGAGCCGGGAGATGGCTGTTCACCTTTTGAGAGGCAAGAACACTACCCATGATCCTCTCCTACCCTCTTCCAGGATGTTGAGGAGCAACCTGATCAGCTGTGTCAACAATGACACCTTCGCTGGCCTGAGCTCTGTGAGACTGCTGTCGCTCTATGACAACCGGATCACCACCATCACCCCCGGAGCCTTCACCACGCTCGTCTCCCTGTCCACCATGTGAGTTCCCCCAGCCTTGCTGCCCACTTCCTCTGGGTCCCTCCCTGCAGAGTTTCCTGACATCCCAGCTCCCTACTGACGGTGGCCAAAGTCACATCTGTCTATTAGTAGACATTTGTCAGGCTCTCCCTATGTGCCCATTACCATCTAAGTACTAAGGATTATAGACCTGGCTCCTCCTTCCTGGGGCTGGCAGCACAGTGAATTGTCCCCATGATGGGAAAGCCCAACGCGAGCTTTGTGGAGAAGCGGTAGGGAAGGTGAGTTTGTTAAAGAAAGTGGGAGATGCATTTCCTGTAGCAGGAACAACCGTGCAAAGGCCCTGTGGTTGGTTGGAGCAGAGTAAATATGCAAAGCCCAGCAAGGCCAATGCTCTGAGTGTGCAAGGGCACTGTGTAAGACGAGACTGGAGAGGAGGCCAGGGTCCGCCTGTGTGGCCACAGTGCTGCGTTAGTTTCCAAAGCACACTAAGAACACTGACGCTTTGCCGTAGAGCCATGGTGTGATCAACAGTGGGTTTTAAAAGGTGATCCTGTCTACATTGGTGTTTGTCAAAGCCAGAGTTGGAGGAGTCCAGCTTTCTGGGCCTGTAAGTAGCCCCTGCCCAGGGAGTCCCCTGCATTAGGAAGGCGGCAGCATAGGGTAGTGATTGTGACTGTAGGGCCATGTGTCCCAGGTTCAAACCCTAGCTTCCTCTCCCTGGCCATGGCAGCTTGAGACTGTTTCTTTATCTCCCCCACCACAGTCCACTTCCCACGACTGTTGCGAGGACCGGCCCTGCGGACAGTGTGAACTGCATAGTCAGGCCCAAGGACAGACGGTTCTCAACGCTCGTTCACTTTACACTTGCTGACGGCGCTGCCTTGTGCCTCAGCTGTCCTTAGCGAGCCGTCAGTCACCTGTCCCATCTCCTTTACTCAGAAGTGACAGAGTGGCAGCCACAGCTGCTCTGGCACCCACTGTCACCTTCCCACTTGGAATAGAAGTGGAGCTGCAGAGTGGCCTGGGGCCAGCCGTCTAGTTTCTCCCAGTTAGCGAGCCCCTCTGCCGTGCGACCAAGCCCTCCTGACCTCATCCTTCACACCCTGCCTGAGGACTGTGCAGTGGCAGCTCCTGGACTCCACAGCCTGGGGAGCTCCCCTTCAGCCTCTCTCCTCTCCCTCCTTTGGCCTGCCCTTCCCCTGCCCCAGCCTCTGCCTCAGTGGCCTGATAGAGCTGTAAATTCCTTAGCATGGTCCCAGGCCTGGGGCAAGCACTCAGAGTGACGACGGCTACCACCCTCGTCCCCTCCCCCATTGGTCTGTCAGGCCACCGCCTAGACAGTAGCGAATTGCCTGTGGCAGGTCCACAGGCTGGCTTCTGGATGCGCAGAGGCCCACAGAGATGCCAGCCTCACAGACCTCAGTCAGTGGGCAGCTGCTGACAGTCATGGAACTAACCTTAGTGCTGACGCTGACGCCGCCGCCGCCGCCGGAAGAAAGTGAGGGGCACAAGTCAGAAAAGGGAATGGGCTCAGCTGCCCCAGGTCGGGCACACTGACACCCAGCCCCACACACGGCAGGCATTTCCAGTGGGAAGGGGGACATGAACACCATTCTCAAGTAGAGAAAATTGTCCACAGAGGACTTGCCAGCTTTGCCCGAGTGGGGCTTGATGGACAGAGGAGGCCAAGGCTGGCGGTCACAACACACCCATTAGCATGGGATAAGGTTGAGGGCAGCTACATTCATCCCGCTTGATTTAGAGAAAAATTCGGCATTCTCCAGCAAGGGATGCCAAGACCCCAGCATGGCCCTGGGAGAGCTAGCCTGGGCTACAGGAGTGGCCCCTAGACTTTTAGCTAGGGTCAGGATGGACAATGACCACTTAAAGGTTCTCTCTCTCTCCTCTCTCTCTCTCTCTCTCTCTCTCTCTCTCTCTCTCTCTCTCTCTCTCTCTCTCTCTCTCACTCTCTCTCTCACTTTCTCTCACTCTCTCTCTCTCAGAAACCTCCTGTCTAACCCTTTCAACTGCAACTGCCACCTGGCCTGGCTCGGCCGGTGGCTGAGGAAGCGTCGGATCGTCAGTGGGAACCCCAGATGCCAGAAGCCCTTTTTCCTCAAGGAGATTCCCATCCAAGACGTGGCCATCCAGGACTTCACCTGCGACGGTAAGGAGGAGTGAATTGGGAAGGCAGGCACGCTGCTGAGACCCTTGACTCCACTCTACCCTCTTGCCCGTGGGCTCTGAGGAACTATGCTCTGAGGCCTCTGAGGGTCTGCTGCTGGCCCACGTGGCTTGTTCCTCAGACTAAGAAACAGTGTCTCTTTCTGCAGCCACCTTACTTCCCTCAGTCATACATCTGTACTGATTTCACTAAGACAAGATGTTTGTTCATATCGAACACGGTCCTCTCTGTGAATGCCATTGTGCCTGGTACACTCCCCTGCCGTGTCTGCAGTGAGCCTCATGCCTCTTAGATGGTATGCCACTTGGTACTGGGCACAGCCTACACAACTGGACAGGGAGATCTCCCTGTCTCTGTTATGACGAAAGTCAGAGTATGTACTTACGGGAAATAGACTTCAGGAAAATTCCTGCCATTTGACTAAGAGATATGAACCCCCAAATCTGAGGCTTTGGGTCTCAGGACCGCAGAAGGCGTATTTGATGGCATGAATTCGAGCCAGTATAGTTCTTTACTTGGTGAATTTTTTTTGTTACCTTAGGACAGAAGACTTTGTTTGCAGATTAATTGAGGTGCATCATAATGGGGGCTGCTGACATGCTCGTCACCCTATAGGGATAACTATACAGTGGTGGGTGGAGAGGAGGAAAAGGACTGGGCTCTGCCTCTGGCTGGCTGCTCCTTTGGGTGTGTGGTTTATTCCTCGGGATAGACAGGACCCCCTTTCCTATCTGTGGCTGTGGGTCTGGGTCGGCAGCTTGACTGGTCTTCATTTCGTGCAGAGCGCTCTAGATGACGATGTCGCTTCCCATGCTCCCCGGCGTGCATCCTTCCCCTCTGACGGTGGAAGAACCCAGCAGCTACCTTCAGTTCTGGCTCAGGCCCGCTGCTGGAGCTAGGCAGAGCTGGCCTTTCCTGGGAACAGCCTGGCCCTGCCAGCCAGCTCTGCCCAGCTGTTCTCCCAGTGGGGCTCATCTCCTCCCATGCTTACCCTGTCTGGGTTCCCCCACAGGCAACGAGGAGAGCAGCTGCCTGCTGAGTCCACGCTGCCCTGAGCAGTGCACCTGCGTGGAGACGGTGGTGCGATGCAGCAACAGGGGGCTCCGTGCCCTCCCCAAAGGCATGCCGAAGGACGTGACCGAACTGTAGGTACCACCCCCAGCCCCGCCCCCCAGCCCTCCCTCCCCCCCAGCCTCAGCAGCAGCAACCTTCCCGCTGTACCCCAGCATCTCAAGGGAGGGCGTGGGGACGTGTCTGGATATCTGCAGAGCTTCTCTCAGACAGGGGTTGGGAGCTTTGACTGGTGTTGGGGGGCGGAGGGTTGAAGGGACAGGCCGACTCCACATATCTCCATCTGGTCAGAGAGGCATTGTCTGACCCTCCTCTCTCTAAAGATACTCCAGAGTGTGAGTGGGCTGCCACATTTCTTGCACCCTCCAGAACGCATAGGCTACCTCTGTGCTGGACCCTGCCTTCCTGGACCCTGTGAAGCCTCTGTCTAACCCTAGTGGTAGCACAGGGTGTTATGAAAGGCTCTTTTTGTGCACTGGAGGGCCCACTTCCAATGTGATCCCATCCCTCCTTCGAGCCAACCCATCAAGCAGGTGATGTGCCGGCGGCGCTCCGTTGCACCCGTTCTAGAACATCTTCCCAACTCGGGTTCCTCACAGTCACCCCCCGCCCCCAGATCTTGTTCCTGGACCGGAAGCTCAAAGTTAAATGAAACAGGCGCCGCGTTCTCTTTGGAGGGCTCACAGTACTGGAGGCAGCACCCTGTCTGGCTCAGCGGTAGATCGGCCTAGCTCTCCGGCAGGCATAGGTGCTCGCCATCTGCTGCAGAAGAACATCACGGGCTGGCACCGCCTGCCCGTGCTTTGTGACGCTGCCCTCTTCCGTACCATCATCCCATGGGGATGAGGTGCCTCATATGTAAGGCTTGCTGCCAACATGGAGAGGTGACACTTAGCAAAACAGGTGGGCCCAGCCCTCGTGAGGCTTGTGGTCTCTCTGGGGAAAGGAGACATCTGTTCTGCTGTCCCTGGAGCTCCCACGACTCGGTGAAAGGTGAGAGGAGAAAAGGGGAGGCAAAGGAGAGGTTTACCGAGGTGTGCTCCTCAGAGAAAGCTTCTCTGGGACACGACACTGAGGCCATGCTCAGAAGGGCCAGCAGGAGCAGGTCCCTTGTGGGGCAGGAGTGGGACAGGTAGAAGTAGCTCCACCAGTGGAGACCCTGGAAGTGAGGGGGCTGACAGTAGGTCAGGGTGTCCAAGCAGCAAGATTCACACCGTCACTCACCCACACTGCCACACTCGTGTGTCAGAACTCCGTCCCACACCCCAGGCCCACTCCTCTGCTAGGGCCATCTGGGCTCATAGCCTCAGACATAATTGACAAAATGTGACGTGACCCAGATTCCTTCGGGGGAATCTCTCTCACCTCCCAGGCCAGTGTCTCCTACGTGGGCTGTGTGCACACCAGCCCTTTAGAATGCAAACAGATGCTAGGTGGGACTGTCACTTCTGGCATTCTCTGGTGCTCAGACAGGTTGTCATGGGGACTGGCAGCCCCGGGGAAGGAAAGGAGGTCTGACAGTCACTAAGAGTCCCTGTCAGCATGGGTATAGGCTGAGGCTGAACCCTCGAAAGTCTGGGTGAACAAATACAATGTCATGTGGTGAGCTGTGTCCAGGCAGAGGAGCAGTAGAAAATGGCCCTGGAATGTGCTCCTTCCTGGCCAGATGGGTGCCAAGTGACATGTCAAAATGCAGAAATGCCATGAAGACAGCTCATGAGTGCTTTTCTCTAAGGTTCGGGGCACAGAGACTGAAATAGCAAAAATAATTGGGGCTCTGTGCCTTTAGAGGACCTCTAATTACTTTCTGTGGAAGAGGTGATGTCTCCCAGCCAATCACGGCTTCTAGTACGCTCCAAGGAACTCAGTTCTGGTGCTGAACCATCTCCTGGACCAAATAGGGATGAAGAAGCAGGAAAGTGAGTTTCTCAAGGAAAGTGAGAGCCAGTAGGCCTGGTACACAGTGCCGTGGGGCCCCAGCTTGGGACCTTCTTATGCTTTTTCAGCACTCCAAGAACATGTCCTTTTGTCGGGTACACTGTGATAATTGACACAGAGAAACTAACACAGACCATTTCGAAATAGCTCTCTCTTATTCTATCTAAAAATGACTCCATACCCACCACGTATTTATATAAGCAGAGTGTGGTTGAGACACACCAGCAATTGAAGCGAGAAGGGTGACTCTGTGTGGTTGTTGCAGATCTTTAAGGTCTTCTGGCTTCATGGCAACCCTGGTGCCTGTTCTGCACCCTCAAGTTGTTCGGGTGAAGTTGAAGGAGAAAGGCCAGCTTCACACAGATGTGGTTGGAACAGGAAGGAGCATTTTAAGAGTCCCTTCCGATACGGATGGATTTTCATCATTGATCATACCACAGGCAGTGGGATTTTCTGAAAGGGTAGCTGCCGCGTGGAACACACATCTGTGGCCATGAACTCACCTCTTCTGTTACCCTAAACCACATTAGTCTGTTCACTTTGGGTAGTACTGTCCCCCAGCTGGGATCTATAGCATCACACACCGGTCACTTAGATCAGTCCACTGAGTCACGAAGTTCTTCCAGGTCGTGATGCATTCCTTTGTCCAGTAGAGAAAACTTTGTGTCGCTGACATGCCCACTGGTCAGTTTCCCATCAGAGAAGTCTTCAGTAAGAGGGAGCTTGTCCCTGGGTAGTGGTGGCACACACCTTTAATGCCAGCGCTCAGGAGGCAGAGGAAGATGGATCTCTGTGAGTTTGAGGCCAGCCTGGTCTGCACAGTGAGTTCCAAGACAGCCAGGGCTGCACAGAGAAACCCTGTCTCGTAAAACCAAGAAAAAAGCGGGGAGAAGGGGCCGTCGAGCTCCATCCAAGTTTTCAAGAATATTAATATTCATGTGAAAGGCCCAATTCAATCACCGGCAACAAATACCATCTGTGCTTTGCCCTGTGTCCTCTTTTTACTCATTTTCCAGATTACTCTCTGGTAAATGCCCCTGTCTGAAAAGACGCTACCAGTCATTCCTTTAAATAGAAATAGCGTTTTGTGGGAGGATCCCGAAGCAGCTAGTTCAGTGAGCAAGGCCGTGGGATGTCACCGAGCCTTTCACAGGCTACAGAAAGGCTGTGTGTGCACGGTTCATTTTGTCACACAATTGCTAAGGAAGCAAGGGCTCAGGGGTCCGGCATCATTAACTGTTGGTCGTTTTTCCTGCTTTGCTTTGTCGTTGTCGTTTCCTTTGTTATTTTATGTGCAGATGCACACGTAAGTGACAGCGCGGTGACTTAGGCCCCGTCATCTGCCCTAAGCTAATGTCCTTAAGCTGCTCTGAGCACAAAACGGAGGAGGTTGGTCTTTTTCTTTAAGATTCTATTTTATTTTTAGTGATATTTGTATGTGGGTTGGGGCGCATGTGCTTGCGGGTGCCCACAGACATCATGACCAGAAGAGGGTATCAGATCCTCTAGAGCCGAAATGACAGGCAGTTCTGAGCCACTCGGTGTGAATGCTGGGAACCAACCTCAGGTCCTGTGCAAGAGCAGTATGCTCTCGTACTCGCTGAGCCATCTCTCCTGCACTGAAAAATAATGCCTTTCGATATTACAAAAATAATTCGGACCCCAGACTTCTGAAAGTTTCTCAGGGACCCTCAGGGGCCCGTGGGTGACACGTGGGGAACCTCAGAAGTCACGACAGCAGTCAGCAAAGAGTGTAGGGAGACACCCGTTAATAGGCAGCATCCAGGTCCTGATTGAAAGGGGGACTGTGGTGTTTTGAAAGAAAATGTCCACAAAGGGGAGTGGCACTATTAGGAGGTGTGGCCTTGTTGGAGGAAGTGTGTCACAGTGGGGGCGGGCTTTGAGTTCTCCTATGCTCAAGCTACTCCCAGCATCACAGACCACTTCCTGTTGCCTGCAAGATGTAGAACTCTCAGCTACTTCTCCAGCACCATGTCTGCCTGCATGCCACCATGTCCCACCCTGATGATAATGGACTGAACCTTTGAACTGTAAGCCGCCACCCCAGTTAAATGTTTTCCTTTATAAGAGTTGCAGTGGTCATGGTGTCTCTTCCCAGCAACAGAAACCCTAACTAAGACAGGGACCTACAGGCTCTTCTCAAAATCAGGGCAAAGCATGTCAGCCCCCCAAGTCACTGAGGAACTCTGCCGAAGCGGTACCTCCCCGCTAGCAGAAAGAACAGTTAGTGCTCTGCAAATAGTCTTTTATCATTGAGCCTGCCTCGCTATTCCAGAATAACTGAAGCCTAAAAACGTGTTTGCTTCTATTTACTGGAACGTTGATAGACATGGGAGTCAAGTCTACATCTCCTTTGAGGCTTGGTGAGGGGTTGAGAATCTGATGCTGGGGAAGTATCATTCACAGCTCAGCCCTTATTTATATCATACCTAGGCCATTTGGGTTCTTTGTCTGAAAACCATAACCATGAATGCATCTTTTAACTGATATCCCCAGAACAAAAGAGGCATACAACTGTCTCCTCACCCAGACACAGTCACCGAAAGAAGGGATTAGTATTCAGCCACCAGGTCTGCCACATCCTGAGAAGCAGACTGGCGATGTGCACATGTATGACGTCCAAAGCCTGGTAAAAAAAAGATGGAAAGGGAATAGGGAAGACAGACACAGGGCTGGCACACGTCTTGGAGAACGATTGTGGCCAGAGATGATGTCATGGATGCATTGGGGGGAGGGGAGAACCTGGTGCTGCTCTCTCCAACAGGTTCAGGAGAGGAGGTGGGGTTCCAGAAAGCAGCTGGAGGGAAGTTTCTCCCCGGCTGTTGGTTACGTGGGGTGTGGACATGCACTCAGAACAGGGCAGAACAGGGCAGCCAGTGACCAACACCGGGACACAGCATGCCCCGAGATGAGGATGAATCCAGGAGACTCTGCCTGCACTGGCCTTCGGGAGAGGGAGGCAAGAAATCATGTCCACACTACAAACCCACACTGCTGCCAGAGCACTTGAACCTCTGTGCCGGGCGCGGTGCGGCCTGTTTAAAAATAGGTGGCCCCGTCTACTCCTGCCGGGCACACTCCTGGACGAGCAACACCGTTCCCATTTTCATTTATT